GATGTGATGTGCGATGGGATGATGTGATGTGCGATGGGATGATGTGATGTGCGATGGGATGATGTGATGTGCGATGGGATGATGTGATGTGCGATGGGATGATGTGATGTGCGATGGGATGATGTGATGTGCGATGGGATGATGTGATGTGCGATGGGATGATGTGATGTGCGATGGGATGATGTGATGTGCGATGGGATGATGTGATGTGCGATGGGATGATGTGATGTGCGATGGGATGATGTGATGTGCGATGGGATGATGTGATGTGCGATGGGATGATGTGATGTGCGATGGGATGATGTGATGTGCGATGGGATGATGTGATGTGCGATGGGATGATGTGATGTGCGATGGGATGATGTGATGTGCGATGGGATGATGTGATGTGCGATGGGATGATGTGATGTGCGATGGGATGATGTGATGTGCGATGGGATGATGTGATGTGCGATGGGATGATGTGATGTGCGATGGGATGATGTGATGTGCGATGGGATGATGTGATGTGCGATGGGATGATGTGATGTGCGATGGGATGATGTGATGTGCGATGGGATGATGTGATGTGCGATGGGATGATGTGATGTGCGATGGATGATGTGATGTGCGATGGGATGATGTGATGTGCGATGGGATGATGTGATGTGCGATGGGATGATGTGATGTGCGATGGGATGATGTGATGTGCGATGGGATGATGTGATGTGCGATGGGATGATGTGATGTGCGATGGGATGATGTGATGTGCGATGGGATGATGTGATGTGCGATGGGATGATGTGATGTGCGATGGGATGATGTGATGTGCGATGGGATGATGTGATGTGCGATGGGATGATGTGATGTGCGATGGGATGATGTGATGTGCGATGGGATGATGTGATGTGCGATGGGATGATGTGATGTGCGATGGGATGATGTGATGTGCGATGGGATGATGTGATGTGCGATGGGATGATGTGATGTGCGATGGGATGATGTGATGTGCGATGGGATGATGTGATGTGCGATGGGATGATGTGATGTGCGATGGGATGATGTGATGTGCGATGGGATGATGTGATGTGCGATGGGATGATGTGATGTGCGATGGGATGATGTGATGTGCGATGGGATGATGTGATGTGCGATGGGATGATGTGATGTGCGATGGGATGATGTGATGTGCGATGGGATGATGTGATGTGCGATGGGATGATGTGATGTGCGATGGGATGATGTGATGTGCGATGGGATGATGTGATGTGCGATGGGATGATGTGATGTGCGATGGGATGATGTGATGTGCGATGGGATGATGTGATGTGCGATGGGATGATGTGATGTGCGATGGGATGATGTGATGTGCGATGGGATGATGTGATGTGCGATGGGATGATGTGATGTGCGATGGGATGATGTGATGTGCGATGGGATGATGTGATGTGCGATGGGATGATGTGATGTGCGATGGGATGATGTGATGTGCGATGGGATGATGTGATGTGCGATGGGATGATGTGATGTGCGATGGGATGATGTGATGTGCGATGGGATGATGTGATGTGCGATGGGATGATGTGATGTGCGATGGGATGATGTGATGTGCGATGGGATGATGTGATGTGCGATGGGATGATGTGATGTGCGATGGGATGATGTGATGTGCGATGGGATGATGTGATGTGCGATGGGATGATGTGATGTGCGATGGGATGATGTGATGTGCGATGGGATGATGTGATGTGCGATGGGATGATGTGATGTGCGATGGGATGATGTGATGTGCGATGGGATGATGTGATGTGCGATGGGATGATGTGATGTGCGATGGGATGATGTGATGTGCGATGGGATGATGTGATGTGCGATGGGATGATGTGATGTGCGATGGGATGATGTGATGTGCGATGGGATGATGTGATGTGCGATGGGATGATGTGATGTGCGATGGGATGATGTGATGTGCGATGGGATGATGTGATGTGCGATGGGATGATGTGATGTGCGATGGGATGATGTGATGTGCGATGGGATGATGTGATGTGCGATGGGATGATGTGATGTGCGATGGGATGATGTGATGTGCGATGGGATGATGTGATGTGCGATGGGATGATGTGATGTGCGATGGGATGATGTGATGTGCGATGGGATGATGTGATGTGCGATGGGATGATGTGATGTGCGATGGGATGATGTGATGTGCGATGGGATGATGTGATGTGCGATGGGATGATGTGATGTGCGATGGGATGATGTGATGTGCGATGGGATTGATGTGATGTGCGATGGGATGATGTGATGTGCGATGGGATGATGTGATGTGCGATGGGATGATGTGATGTGCGATGGGATGATGTGATGTGCGATGGGATGATGTGATGTGCGATGGGATGATGTGATGTGCGATGGGATGATGTGATGTGCGATGGGATGATGTGATGTGCGATGGGATGATGTGATGTGCGATGGGATGATGTGATGTGCGATGGGATGATGTGATGTGCGATGGATGATGTGATGTGCGATGGGATGATGTGATGTGCGATGGGATGATGTGATGTGCGATGGGATGATGTGATGTGCGATGGGATGATGTGATGTGCGATGGGATGATGTGATGTGCGATGGGATGATGTGATGTGCGATGGGATGATGTGATGTGCGATGGGTGATGGATGTGCGATGGATGATGTGCGATGGGATGATGTGATGTGCGATGGGATGATGTGATGTGCGATGGGATGATGTGATGTGCGATGGGATGATGTGATGTGCGATGGGATGATGTGATGTGCGATGGGATGATGTGATGTGCGATGGGATGATGTGATGTGCGATGGGATGATGTGATGTGCGATGGGATGATGTGATGTGCGATGGATGATTGATGTGCGATGGATGATGTGATGTGCGATGGGATGATGTGATGTGCGATGGGATGATGTGATGTGCGATGGGATGATGTGATGTGCGATGGGATGATGTGATGTGCGATGGGATGATGTGATGTGCGATGGGATGATGTGATGTGCGATGGGATGATGTGATGTGCGATGGGATGATGTGATGTGCGATGGGATGATGTGATGTGCGATGGGATGATGTGATGTGCGATGGGATGATGTGATGTGCGATGGGATGATGTGATGTGCGATGGGATGATGTGATGTGCGATGGGATGATGTGATGTGCGATGGGATGATGTGATGTGCGATGGGATGATGTGATGTGCGATGGGATGATGTGATGTGCGATGGGATGATGTGATGTGCGATGGGATGATGTGATGTGCGATGGGATGATGTGCGATGGGATGATGTGATGTGCGATGGGATGATGTGCGATGGGATGATGTGCGATGGGATGATGTGCGATGGGATGATGTGCGATGGGATGATGTGCGATGGGATGATGTGCGATGGATGATGTGCGATGGGATGATGTGCGATGGGATGATGTGCGATGGGATGATGTGCGATGGGATGATGTGCGATGGGATGATGTGCGATGGGATGATGTGCGATGGGATGATGTGCGATGGGATGATGTGCGATGGGATGATGTGCGGTGGGATGATGTGCGATGGGATGATGTGCGATGGGATGATGTGCGATGGGATGATGTGCGATGGGATGATGTGCGATGGGATGATGTGCGATGGGATGATGTGCGATGGGATGATGTGCGATGGGATGATGTGCGATGGGATGATGTGCGATGGGATGATGTGCGATGGGATGATGTGCGATGGGATGATGTGCGATGGGATGATGTGCGATGGGATGATGTGCGATGGGATGATGTGCGATGGGATGATGTGCGATGGGATGATGTGCGGATGGGATGATGTGCGGATGGGATGATGTGCGATGGGATGATGTGCGATGTGCGATGGATGATGTGCGATGGGATGATGTGCGATGGGATGATGTGCGATGGGATGATGTGCGATGGGATGATGTGCGATGGGATGATGTGCGATGGGATGATGTGCGATGGGATGATGTGCGATGGGATGATGTGCGATGGGATGATGTGCGATGGGATGATGTGCGATGGGATGATGTGCGATGGGATGATGTGCGATGGGATGATGTGCGATGGGATGATGTGCGATGGGATGATGTGCGATGGGATGATGTGCGATGGGATGATGTGCGATGGGATGATGTGCGATGGGATGATGTGCGATGGGATGATGTGCGATGGGATGATGTGCGATGGGATGATGTGCGATGGGATGATGTGCGATGGGATGATGTGCGATGGGATGATGTGCGATGGGATGATGTGCGATGGGATGATGTGCGATGGGATGATGTGCGATGGGATGATGTGCGATGGGATGATGTGCGATGGGATGATGTGCGATGGGATGATGTGCGATGGGATGATGTGCGATGGGATGATGTGCGATGGGATGATGTGCGATGGGATGATGTGCGATGGGATGATGTGCGATGGGATGATGTGCGATGGGATGATGTGCGATGGGATGATGTGCGATGGGATGATGTGCGATGGGATGATGTGCGATGGGATGATGTGCGATGGGATGATGTGCGATGGGATGATGTGCGATGGGATGATGTGCGATGGGATGATGTGCGATGGGATGATGTGCGATGGGATGATGTGCGATGGGATGATGTGCGATGGGATGATGTGCGATGGGATGATGTGCGATGGGATGATGTGCGATGGGATGATGTGCGATGGGATGATGTGCGATGGGATGATGTGCGATGGGATGATGTGCGATGGGATGAGACAGCATGGGAAGGCATGGGACGGCATCAGACTGCTGGAGCGGAGTGGTGGTGTGACAGCTGCAGCGAACAACGTGCATTTTTATAGAAGGTGGAGCGGAGCAAAGGGAGTGAAGGCACTAGTGCAAGTGAGTGACAACCAATGCACAGATTGCTCGAACTTGGACAGGGCCATGAAAGAAAGATATGAGAAAGGAGGTGCAGGGAGTGTGAAAGGGGAGACGGGTAAGAGGGGATGCTGACCAACTGGCAGGGAAGCCGAGGGGGGGCGAGCAGCAGTGAGGACCGAGAGAGCTCTGGATGGACTGAGCTGCAGCACCTGATACGATGCCATGCAGGGGGTAACGGACATGCATGCACAGGGCTGACTTTATAGTCGACTCAAAAGTCATGCGGCGCTCGAGCAGAGTGCGGTTCTGAGCTTTGAGCAGTTGGTGTACCACCACAAATGTGGTGGTGGTGGTGGCAGCATGCAGTGCCGCATGTGATGCATGATACAGTTTATGACGCATGAGCCAGCATATGGCGGACATCACAGGAACTGGTGGATTACTCATGCATGTGCATGCCAGGGACGGGTCGCTGTGATGTGCATGCTGATGTGTGCGTGGGATGGTGATGCGTGCAATTGAAGACTGTTCAACGGATGAGAGAAATCGATACAAGTGCAGTAGGCAAGGTTGCAAGATCGCGCGTGCGCACACACACACACACACCCACATGCACCCCCACACCCCAACCACACCCACACCCCACTCCCGCACCCAACCACACCCACTCACCCACACCCACGCACACACGCACACATGCACACACGAATGCTCATGCGCGCTCGCTCCCACATACCCACGGCAGGTGGCGCAGCACGAGGTGAGGGTCCTCCACCACACCCAGAATCGCCACTGCCTCCTCCACCGCCTGCCGCTGCACCCCTCCCCGCCCCGCTCTTACTCCCCTCCCCACAGCCCCCGCACCTCCCCCAGCCTCCTCCCCCGCTCCCCCCTGCAGCTCCCCCAGTGCAAGCCCCCGCCAGAGCGCCAGAGCGCCCTCTGCATCCCCTCGCTGCCAGCGCAGGTAGGCGAGAGGGGGGAAGAGGTGTGCTCGCAGGAGCGCTCCCTCCACGTCCGGCTGGGGTGAGTGATGGGAGTGAGGCCGGGGGAGCGGGAGGGGGGAGTGGCGGTTTGAACAAATCGACAAAGATTGTGCCTTAGCGAGATGGGAGGAGGGAGGGAGGAAGCGAGGGCAAGCAGAGAACAAGCAAAGGCCAAGCAGAGGCGAAGCAGAGGCGAAGCAGAGGTGGCGCGTGGCACTAGAGTGAGCGAACGAGGCGATTGTTGACCATCTCAGCACAAGAACCCGCACCAGGTGAGCTGAAACCCGAAGAAGTGTGGTGGGTGGTTGGGTGGTTGGGTGGGTGGGTGGGTGGGTGGGTGGGTGGCATACGAGGTAGCAGCGGTTGTGTGCGGCGGGCAGGCAGAGCATGAGCAGGCGGGGGGCGTCGTGCAGGGCGAGCAGCAGGTGCAGAAGCAACGAGTCCACCCCCTGCTGCTCCTGCTCCGATGCACAGTAGTGCCGCCACTGCTGCCGCACTGCCAGCAGATAGCTGCGTGAGGACCAGGGGAGTGGTGAGGTGTGATGGAAGGAAGGGGCGCAGGGAGGGAGGGAAACGACATGTGGTTGTCATGAGACGATTTTTTAGCTGACCCAAAGGCGCAGGGAAGGGAGGGAGGGCGCATGGCTGTCAAGGGGCATGGCTGTCAAGGGGCATGGCTGTCAAGGGGTATGGCTGTCAAGGGGTATGGCTGTCAAGGGGCATGCACCAAAGCAGCGCCAACTTCGTGTTTCATCTGACCATCTGTCCTCCACCCCGCTTGTCCCACGGTCCGTCACCCTTCATCCAGCCAGCCCCCCTGCCACTCGCCCCTCGCATCTCCCCCCTACAGCTTGACACACACGCACATGCCGTGCCTGCACACACCTGGCCCGCTTCGGTCTACCAGCCCCAGGCAGGAGGAGAGGAGAGGAGAGGAGTTGAAGTTAACGCATTGGGTTGGTTGGATTGGAAGCCCGTGCAGCCATGCATGCCTGCCCACTTACCTCACCACACCTTCTTGGCACTGCCGCCGAGCGTCCTCCTGCGTGGACTCAAAGGTAAGAAAGCACATGCACCCGTGCATGACTTTTGAGAGTTCCCAAAGGGCTGCAACATGCAGTTATGCATGAGCATGCGTGCACCCGCACCTACCTCACCACACCTTCTTGGCACTGCCTCCGAGCGTCCTCCTGCCGCCGCTGCTGCTGTACCCGCTGCTCCCCCGCCTCCCTCCCACTCCCTCTATCGCTCTCCACCGCACCAGACCCTACAGATGCACTTACACCTCCCCCAGACGAGCCTGGCCTGGCTCCTGTAAATGCATCCCTCCCTGCTACTGCAGCAGCTGCTGCTGCTGCTGCTGCTGCTGCTGCTGCTGCTGCTGCTGCTGCTGCTGCTGCTGCTGCTGCTGCTGCTGCTGGTGATGCTACTGCTGCAGGAAGGGACGCAGATGGAGTTAAAGAGGAGCTGGGGTTATGGTGGGGGCGGTGGTGTGGAGCGGCAGAGGGTGCAGGGAAGCAGCAGCAGAGCAGGCGGTCGTGCAGGGAAGAGAGAGGCGCGTGCAGACCCCAGAAGCGAGCTCGAGGGATCTGGCAACAGGGGAACAACACAAGGAGAGGGAACGGGTAGAGGGAAGCGTGAGAGATGGCTTTGGGGTGGACACGAGTCGCACCAATAGAGTCAGTGTGTGCAGACCTCAGAAACGAGCTGGCAGGATGATCCTATGAGGGTCTCACAGAGGGAGGCGACAGGGAGAGGGAGGAGCAGGAGAGACGATGCAGCAGGGCAGGTGAGGAGGAGGAAAGGAAGAGGAGCGATGTGCGTGAGTGAGATGGGGAGTGCACTGGTGGATGGGGATTAATGGAAGGGTAAAGCCATCCTGCACGCACTTGCTCTCTGGGAGCGATAAATTGTTGGAGGGTGTAGGGAAATCGGGAAAGGGGATAAGGGATGAGGGAGATTGGGTGGTGAGGTGAATGAGAAGGTGAAGAATGAGAGGGTGAATGAGAACCTCATGATGTACCAGCTCAAGCGGCCACTACCTGCGACACCTTATTGCATTGCACACAACATCGTGCACGCACATGCCGAATTGCGTGCGCATTCACATTCACATTCACATTTTGGTGCACAAAGGACATTGTGGCATGTGCGGTGTCGCTGTGAAAAAAGGAAGGCGCGGAGTAGAGCACACAAAAAAAGGAGGCCAGGAATGGAGGACGAGAAACAGCAGGCGAGGAACAGGTGACGAGGAAGAGGAGACGAGGAATTAGGGACGAGCGACCAACCAGCGATCGCCACCTGGCAGTCAAGTGGGGGAAGAGCGCAAAGATCTCTGCAGGCTGAAAGACCCCTCCTCGTGCTGCTAGGAGGTGCGGCACGGCTGCTTTGAAGTCCCCATCCCACAGCAGCAACAGCCCCACCTGCGCATGCGCTTCTGCTACTCTCCTCCTCCACGCCCCCTGTATCGTCACACTCTTACTCCCAGTTGCTAGCGCAGATGTGATGGGAGAAACTAACCCTGTAGCATCAGCCACAGCAGCACCACCAGCAACAGCACTACCAGCAGCAGCAGCAGCAGCAGCATCTGCTTGCCCTGTGCTCGGCTCAGCACCATCCCCTGGCCTCACCTCCCCCCACTCCCCCCCCTCCATCTCCTCGCCCACATCCACCCCCCGAGCCACCTCCAGCGCCTCCTCATACCGCTTCTCCCGCATCAGCTCCCTCGCCTGCTGCACCAGAGACAGCCGCGGCACCCACCACACCTCACTCCCACTCGCCGCCACCACCGCCCCCCCCCCTCCTCCTCCTCCTCCCCTCTCTGCCGCCAGCGCCACCAATGGGCTCCTGCCAGCTGTCCCCGCCCCTCCCGGCACCGGGAGGGTCTGCAGGAGCGCGCCTGTGGCCGGGTCGAAGAGGTGTAGGGAGTGGTGGAGAGCGGTGGCGACGTGGGGAGGGGCGAAGGTGAGGGCGATGGGAGGGGAGGGGAAGATGAGGGGGTTGCCCCTGGGCTGGCCTGTGGTGTCTATCACCACTCCTATGTCGTCCATTGCTAACACTGCTGCTGACTCCTGGCTCTGCATGCTTGGTCGGCCCTCTGCTGCTGCACGCATGCCAGAGCTGCCTCCTGCTCCTGCTCCTGCTGCTGCTGTTACTGCCGTCTCCCCCGCCACTACCGTTGCTGCCCCTGTCGGAGGTGATAGTGCTGTGTCTTGTGTGTGTGCTCTTGAATCTGATGTCACCTCCACACCCACACTCTTTCTTTGCAACCCTCCCTGCTGCATTCCCCAACCGCCCTCCTCTGCTACTGACCCTCTCACTGCTCCTGCCCCGGTTCCTGCTGCTCGTGTAACCTCACCCTCGCCTCCACCTGCCTCGCCACGCATTCCTGATGCTACCCCCCCCTCATCAGGAGCAACCTTTCTCTCTCGCGGAGAGGACACCCCAGACGCGTTGCAGGCGAGCGAAACAGCAGCGATGAGAGGGGGATTGGGAGAGGAGGGAGGCAGGGGGAACAGCTGCAAGGGCTGCCCGGAAGGGATGGAGATGTGCAGGTACTGCAGCGACGTGCCCAGGATCAATGATGACCCCAGATACGCTGCTGCTAGAGGAACCTCTCGCTCGCCTATACCCTTTATAAGCATCTCCCCTTGCAAGTGGATGGAGAGGGAATCCCAGAGGGGAGTGGGGGAGAAAGGGGCGGAGGAGGAGATGGTGAAGATGAGGAGCTTCCTGCGGAGGACCAGGAGGAGAGGCGCGGAGGGGGGTGGGGGGGCGGGAAATGAGGAGGCGGAGGCGGAGGCGGAGAGATTTGAAGAGGAGAAATTAGAGGAGGAGAGTGGAAAGGGAGAGGGGGATGATAGAGGGTGGGAAGCCAGGAGCAGGGTGCCGGAGGCAGGGCCTACAGGTGGGCCGAGGGAGAGGGAGAGAGGGTGGAGGAGACGCACGCCCCCATCACAGAGCACAGCGAGCAGGCCCCCCATCACCGTATGTAACACCTCCACTCGCTCCACTGCCCTCCTCCCCACCACGCACACTCCACGCATAGTCAACTCGGGGCCCCTGGCGTCACTCCCCCCTGCTCCCCCCATACCGGTAGAACCAGCACCGCCCACACTACCAGCACGGCTACCAGCAGCAGACGGGCTATCCCCAGGCGCAGCAGCAGTTGCGGTAGAAGCAGAAGCAGAGCCCATCCGACCTGCTGTCAACCAGCCCCACGCTGAAGCGCTGCTGCCAGCAGACACAGCACCTGCTGCTGCTGCTGCAGGATCACTGCCGCTGGTACCTGTGTGCGCAGATGCGGACGCAGGCTCTGCTGCTGCAGGTGCTCCAGGCTGGTTGGGTTGGGCGGTGTGTGGGTGGGAGAGGGAGAGGTGCAGCACGCGGCCTGCTGATGTGCCCACGAACACGCTGCTGCTCATACGCACACTGCCACCGCTGTCGTTAGTGTTGGCGCTGCTGCCAGAGCTGCTGCTGCTGCTGCTGCCGCTGCTGAGCCTGCTCGTGGCAAACGCGCTGGGGTCAGCACTGCTCTGCACAGCGGCGTCTGGCGGCAGATGGGGGGCACCGGGCGCGGGGAGGGGTACGGGGAGGGCGAGCGCGGCGAGGCAGCGGATGTTCTCGTTGCGCTGCAGCGCCATGCGGTGCCCCACCACGCGCTCGCTCAGCACCGCGCGCCCCGTGGCCGCCGCGGGGGGCGCGCCTGGAGACGTTGCGCCCATGGCGGTGGCGCTAGGGGCGCCCGTGTGAGTAGGGAGAGCGAGAGATGAGGGGGGAAAGGGGAGGGCAGTGAAGGGGGAGAGGGAAAGAGAAGAAACCGGGAGGAGTGGGAGGATGGGGAAATGGGAAGACAAGAGAGGCGCGGGATGGGAGGGCGAGGCTGGGTGTGTGGGAGGGCGAGGGTGGGTGTGTGCAAGGACGGATGGGAGGGGCAGCAAGAGGCGTGCAGCAGCGGGACTCAGAGTCTTGCCAAGCTAAGCGCCTGTGCTACGGGGTTCTGCCACCAGTCTACAAGCCGTGGAGCGACATCGCCGCCATACCCGCCACTCCTCCTCGCTCTCTCTGCCGCAACGACTATCTAAACGCGCCGCTAGGCCCCCGCTTCAAGGCAACCGGGCACCTTGGCATATTCATGGTTGGTCCTGCCAAGGAAATTCCTGGCAGTGGCAGCTGCGTTCACCGCCGAAAGAGCCTGCTGTGGCCTCGAATCTGGGGGTGGGGAACCGGCTGTCGCGCTCCTCCTGCGACGGGTGCTGCGACGGCCAGCGATCGGCGCGAGATCGGGCGACAGCGTGTGGGGTGAGATTCAGGTTGCTGTGCGGTGAGGCCGATGGGAGAGGGAGATCGAGATGCACGACAGCTGGGTGTGAAAGTGTCGTAAACTGGGAGACAAGAAGCGGCAATCACGGATCGGCGGAATCACGAGTCGATAGAGGAGCACGAGAGAGGTAGTGGGGGAAGCAATCACAAACAGATGGTGGATGGAGCATGGTAGCTTTGCTGTAGCGTCTCCGTGCTGTGTGTTTTGTTGTTGACTGAACCAAAATGGAATTGGAATTGTTGCGGGTGATCGAAGACGGCGAAGGGGAAGAAAAGGGTGCCATTTGGTTAGAAGTCTGAATTTAGCGGTAATGCCTCTAGATTTTGCTTCTATATATTATATCCAATAGGATCAGCGCTACTGTGATTTTTGCAAATAACTATAATAACTAATTACAGATATCACGGTAGCGGTAGTGATTCCGATTTTTGACAGCATGAACCTGTTTTCGTTCTGAAAAAATCCAGAGCAATGTTTTTACTGAAACGAAGTTACAGAACATGATGCGATCTATACAATTTGCGAAACGCTAATACCGTTGGCACTGTATCTTACGTTCTTGTTCGGCACTTCAGCGAGGATAATATTGTTTGAAGAAGAGGTTGCAAATCCGTGCAGTGTGATATGTGCGACATATATCCGCTCTGTTGACGCCGGCATTCATCTGGCATTGTGTAGAGCATGTCCGAACTGCTTTTTTTAGCAGGATATCTGCGCATGATAGTCTTTTCAGCGATGTGGGATGCTTCTGTTTTCTGAGACGACGGGCCGTCTCACTGCGCCCACCTGCTCGCATGCCCACAGTAGCAGAGGCGGGTGGCACTGTCGCACACAGCATGGAATGCGACACACGGGGTGAGGGGCGAGGGGGTGCCGGTGGCGGGTGTGCCAGTGGCGGGGGTGCCGAGACAGGCGGAGGGGGCCGCGCAGCAGGGCGCGCAGGTAGTGAGGAAGCGGGAGCAGCAGGAGCAGCAGCAGCAGCAGCAGCGGCAGCATGTGGGGCAGCAGGCGAGCCGGTGGGTGTGCGGGTGCTGCGGCGTCTGTACCCCGGCATAGCGCCCCTCGCCCATGTGCTCCGCCTCCCACTGCTCGCCCAGGGGGGTGACGCACCCACACCCAAAGGTGGGGCAGCAAAACGCGGAGCACAAGGGCGAGAGGTGGAGGGGAGAGCAGGAGAAGCGTGCGGAGACGAAACGGAACGAAGATGTGTAGAGGAGGAGTGCGAGGGCGAGTGTGAATGCACGAGAGTCAAGCGAAAGCGGCAGGTGGACACAGACGGTGCCAGCAACAACATTGCGCGAGGGAGAGAGGGGTGGGCGGCAGGAGGAGGGGCGGAGGAGGAGGATGAGGCGGTGGAGAGTGTGGTGAGGGAGGCGCTGGCGTGGATGCCTGAGGAGCACTGCACTGCACTCCATGCACTGCTGCTGCAGGGGGGAGTTGGGGGGAGGGGGCATGAGGAGGCAGGTGGTGGCGGCGAGGATGGCGAGCAGGGAGGGCGTGGTGGCATGAGGTGGACGCAAGAGGAGGTGCGCTTCCATGGGATGCCATGGATTGGAATGGATTGGCATGCATGCAGAAAAATTATGGCACACACCCATTAGTGGGGGGTTGGGGTGACATGTCGTGGCAGGGCAGCGTGCGGTGAACAACTTGCTGTTGGCAGATGAGAGCAGCTAGCTATGCAAATAAATGACCGAAAGAAGCAACGTTTCGCAAAGTCCAGGGAGACGACATTCACGAATTTTGCCAACACTCTCTCATTCCACCTGAACGAGCCTCTCCTGTCCGTCCCCCCTCTGCATGCGTGCACCAGGTAGTGACACGCGTTGTGCTGCGGCACTTCAGGCGCTCTGCTGCCCTGCCTCAAGGCTCAGGCGGGCGAGGATCAGCGGGCATGGCAGCGAGGCAGGGCGCAAGGGCAGCTGGGAGGGGCCGTGCGGGTATGCAAGGGCGGCGCCATGGGGCGGCGGATGAGCATGAGCGTGCTATCCAAGGAAACGTGCTGGCAGCGGGATTCAGGCGGGTGAGGAGGGGCCGTATGGTGGGTGGGTGGGTAGGTAGGTGGGCTCTGCTCTGCATCACTCCTCCTCACGCCTATCCGTATCGCATTTGCATTCTTCCCTTTCCGTTCCCCCCCGTCACCTGTCGTCACCGTCCAGTGTGCGGTGCTGCTGTGCGTTGACCTTGTGTCCCTCCCCTGTGCTGTGCCTCCTCCTCGTGCTTGTCACCTGTGTGCATGGCATGGCAGGCTATGCCCTTCACGTCGCCGCAGAGTGAGCTGCAGTGGGCCACGGCGCCGCCATGCCTGCCTGGCCTGCAGCGCAACCACATTCCCATCCACTCACTCTCGCCCATGGCGGCAACGGCAAACAACACTCTCTCCCATCCCTCCTCCTCCTCCTCCGCCCCCAACCCACCCAAGCCTGTTGCACTTGCCACCCTGCCAGCTGCTGCTGCGTCACCTGTGACCTCGCCTCTCCCGCACAACACGGCGTGGGCCGTTGTCACGTGGCCCCCTTGGCAGCACATGCTAAACAAGGTGCTCACCCCGCCTGCTTCACAAGGTGCTCACCCCGCCTGCTTCACAAGGTGCTCACCCCGCCTGCTTCACAAGGTGCTCACCCCGCCTGCTTCACAAGGTGCTCACCCCGCCTGCTTCACAAGGTGCTCACCCCGCCTGCTTCACAAGGTGCTCACCCCGCCTGCTTCACAAGGTGCTCACCCCGCCTGCTTCACAAGGTGCTCACCCCGCCTGCTTCACAAGGTGCTCACCCCGCCTGCTTCACAAGGTGCTCACCCCGCCTGCTTCACAAGGTGCTCACCCCGCCTGCTTCACAAGGTGCTCACCCCGCCTGCTTCACAAGGTGCTCACCCCGCCTGCTTCACAAGGTGCTCACCCCGCCTGCTTCACAAGGTGCTCACCCCGCCTGCTTCACAAGGTGCTCACCCCGCCTGCTTCACAAGGTGCTCACCCCGCCTGCTTCACATGCTCACCCCGCCTGCTTCACAAGGTGCTCACCCACCACGCGTGCCTGCCTGCCTGCCCCATGCCTCGCCGCCGTCTGCATGCGTGCACGACTCGTCTGCGTGTTGTGACGCTGATGCACAAGCTGCACTGCATTCCCTCTTGTGGGCTCATTCATTCAACCACTCCTCTCAATCACCACCCTCTCCTCCCGCTTCTCCACCCTCGTGCTTCTCCGTGTTCCTCCCGTTTCCTCATGATCACACCCACCCACGTCCTCCGTGCAGGTGGGCGTGCCAGCAATGGTCCACCTTCTCTCGCATGCATCCATCTTTGTGCCACTTGGAGCCTCCTCATTCGTCCAAGTGGCAGGTCCGCCTGTCTCCAGCCATGCACTGCAAACGCGCTGCTCCACCTTCGACCGCCTGCACCCTCCTGCATCATCCCAGTCCCGCCCTCCATGCCGCTCCCCTGCTCGTGGCACCGTGCGCGCCGCCCAGCCGTCAGCAGCATGCGTGCTCTCGCGCACGCGCCATGTGGTGGCATGCGGGGCAGGAGGCGCTGGTGGTGGTGGGGGCCTTCGTGGTAGTGCTGCGCTGGGCGTGGTGCAGCGCAGGGGGGGAGGCAGGAGGGATGGTGGGAGGAGAACGGACGGCGGCAGGGGTGTGCATGTGTGGAGTGCAGGCCGGGGCGATATGGCGACGGGAAGGGAGGTGGCGAGGAGTACAGGGGGAGGAGAGACGGAGAAAGGGTGTGGAGGGGAAGGAAGGATGACGGTGGGGTCGTGGGCGGGGGCAGATGGGTCAGTTGGAGGAAGGGGAGACGGTGAGGGAGGTGGGGATGGGCGCAGAGGAGAGGAGAGCAGGCGTGCAGAGCAAGGTGCGGGTGAGGGTGAGGGTGAGGGTGAGGGGCTTTGTGGGTGGCCTAAGGAGGTGGCTGGTGCAGGGGGGGGTGAGCGAGACGCAGATCAAGCAGAGGGCGGCGGTGACAGGGAGGGGCAGGTGGGAGATGGTTTAGCAGACGGGGTTAACATGGGTGGAGAGAAGAAGCGAAAGAGGGGAAAGAGGAACAGGGGCGGCCGGAAGGTGCAACGGAGTGCGGAAAGGAGAAAGGGAGGGGAAGGTGGGTGTGGTCATGGGCGGGGGAGGGGAAAAGGAGGAGAGGGGAACGGAAAGGGGGGGGCAGATGGTGGACGGTGCATGGATGCAGATGCAGGGAGAGAAGCTGCTCGTGGCAGGGGACAAGGGTGGAAAGGCAAGGGCGATAGGGAAGGAGGGAACGGGCAGCACAGGAGAGTGGGCGCTCTGGAGGGAGGTGTGGTGGAGGAGGAGGAGGTGGAGGAGGAGGAGGAGGAGGAGGAGGATAAGCCGCAAGGGAAGGCAGGTGAGAAAAGGAGAGAGGAGGGGAGGGTAGGGGGTGGGAGGAGATGGGAGGGGAGGTGAGAAGAGGTGAGGAGAGGTTAAGTGAGATGGTAATTCTGACAGGTTGCTGCAAGGAGGGGATGGCTCATACTCATGCCCTTGTCTGCTCTTTGGACTTGCGATCCTGTAGTGCAACTGTGCCTGCCCCTGCACTGCTCTGCTCTCCCTCTCCTCATGCTCCAGTGCTAGGGATAGGTGCGGTGCTTGATTGCCCCAAGCACTGCCCTCTCCCTGCCGCCGCCTCTCCAGCCCCGCTTGCTGCTACCGCACCTGCACAGGCCACTGCTGGGGACGCTGCTGCTGCCAAAGCACCGTCCAGTGTTGCTGTCGGTTCAGGCAGTGCCCGTGAGGTGGTGGCAGGATCAGATGGTGTGGCTGTGCCGGCTGTGCCGGTGCCGGCTGTTGCTGCTGAGGCTGTAGCAGCAGCAGCAGAGTGTGGCGGTACGAGTGAAGCGCCTTGCAATGGTGCTGTCTCCACCGGTGATGATGCCAGTGCACCTGCACATGCTGTGCTGCCAGCGGCAGTGGACGTGAATGGCCGCCCACCCGCCATGCATGCTCCTGCTGCACCTGTGCACGCCACACCCAGAGCGCCACCTACACCTGATGCACATGCTCATGCTCATGCACCTGCGGCTGCGCCTGGTTGGGCGGTGGAAGGTGAAGCTGCTGCCATGCCCACTGCGGATGCTGCTACGGCAGCAGCTTCGGCCTTTGTCGCTGGTCTGCCCTCGCTCTTACGCGAGCACGCACCTGTTGGGGCGCTAGGTTTAGGCGGCAGGAGAAGAGCAGGGTGTGGGAGTGGGAGTGCGGCAGGGCAGAGCATGGGGAGCCTGAGGGAGGTGCCTGTGGAGGTGCTAGTGCAGGCCACGAGCAGCCAGCAGCAGGTAGCTAACTTCACGTGGGCCGTGATCCGTAGCATCGTGCCTCTCCATCTGCTGCCCCGCGGCCGAGACGAGGAGAACGCAGCAGTGTTGAAGTTGAAGGGGAGAGGGGGAACAGCAGAGGTGGGAAGGGGGGGAGAAGTGGAGGCGGGAGGGAAAAGAAGGGTAGCCGCGCTCGCCGCCGGAGCAGTTGCAGCAAGGAGGCAAGGCGGACGAGGGGTGGGCGGGCAAGCTGCCTCTAAGGCTGCACAGAAGCTACAGCATAGCAAGGGTGGGAGAAAGGGAAACATGCGGCGGATGAGGCAGCTGATAGGCCGCTTTGTTGGGCTGCACAGGTTCGACCAGTTCCCCCTGCACGCCGCCATGCACCGCCTGCCCACTGCCTGCCTCCCCTGGTCCCCTGCAGCAATAACCAAGGGCCGTGGGAGAGGGGGTGGTGAGAGAGAGGGTCAGCGGAGAGAAGAAGCACAGGGAGGGAGTGGAAGGAGCAAGAGGGAGGAAGAAGAGGGGAGTGGTGGAAAGCAAGGAAGTTGTGGGATGGATGCCGAGGAAGAGCAAGGAGTGTCGAACGAGGAGGAGACTGGCAGAGATGAAGAGGAGAAGAGGAGGCGGGAAGAGGACGAGCAGGCAGGGCAGCCAGAGCAACTGAAGCAGGTGCAGTCAGTCGGTGAGGGGCAGCAGCAGGAGCAGGGCGGTGGTGGGAGGGTGGCAGCACGGCATGCAGTGCAGGCACAGCAGGTGCTGAGCTGCATGTGGGTGCAGTGGGTGCTGGCGGAGCTGGTCATTCCCGTGCTGAGGAGCCACTTCTACATCACGGAGAGTGAGGTGCAGCGCCACACCGTGTGCTTCTACCGCAAGCCCGTGTGGGCCCGCATCAGGTCATCATTGCTGCTTCCCCTGCCCTGCTCTGCCCTGCCCTGCTCTGCCCCGCTTTTCCCTGCCGTGCCATACTCCGCTGCACTTGACTGTGTATGTGCTCGTTGTGCCCCAGTGTCACTGATCTTCCATGCCATTCCATACTATGCTGCGTTCCTCTATGTCACGAGACGGCCTCTGGGCTCTGCTCACATCCATGCGTGCAGCTACTTACCATCCTTGCAAGCTTTCCTGCCAATGCGTGCACGTGCACCCTTCCTCCCCTGTGTGCACTGTGCAGGTACCTTGCACTGCAGCGCCTTGCCTCCTCCTCCACCTTCCACAAGCTCACACCTGCTGCTGCCAGGCGCCTCCTCCTCCCCCCCGCTCGCACCACCACCCCCTGCCACCGCACTGCTGCAGCCAGCCAAGGCAGCAGCTTCAAGGGCGGAGAGGCAGGGGGCGGCGGAGGGGAGGGGCGGGCGCTGGGTGTAGCGCGCGTGCGGTTTGTGCCCAAAGCGCAGTCAGTGCGTCCCATTGTGAACCTCGGCGCCAGCAGCCACGTGTCCCTCGCCACCAGAGGAAACCGGCAGCGCAAGAAAGCGAGAGCAGGGGGACGGGATGGGAAGGGCGCAGGTGCATGGGAAGTAGAAGAGGGTGGGGAGGAGGTGGGGGGGATGCAAGGGAGAGCAGAGCTGGATGCTCAATTCCGCTCCGCCTTTGGAGTGTTCGCTGTGCCAGGAGGGGGGGGCGAAAGAGAAGGCGGTGGGGGTAGCGTGGGGCAGGAGAGTGAGGAAAGTGGGGATAAGGGGTGTGGGGAAGGTGGGGATAAGGGGAGTGGGCAAGGTGAGAATAAGGGGAGTGGGGAAGGTGGGGATAGGGAGGGCGACGAAGAGGATGAGGGGCATGCGGTGGGACTTGCAGGGGCGGCAGTGGGTGCCATGAGCAGTGGGGGCTCAACGAGGGGGGCGGTGAACGCAGGCACACAGCAGCCTAGTTGTGCTGGGCACGTGCCAGCTGCTGCTGCTGCTGCTGCTGCTGCTGCACCTGTTGCCCCTGCTGCTCCTGCTCCTGCTCCTGCTCCTGCTCCTGCTCCTGCTCCTGCTCCTGCTGCTGCTTTTGCTGCTGCTCCTGCTGCTGCTGCTGCTGCTCCTGCTGCTGCTCCTGCTGCTGCTTTTTCTGCTGCTCCTGCTGCTGCTCCTGCTGCTGCTGCTGCTCCTGCTGCTGCTCCTGCTGCTGCTGCTGCTGCTCCTGCTGCTCCTCCTCCTGCTGCTGCTGCTGCTACTGCTGCTCCTGCTGCTCCTGCTCCTGCTCCTGCTCCTGCTGCTGCTGCTGCTGCTGCTGCGGCCATTCCCTTGGAAGGCAGGGAGAACGAGATCGCTTGTGCCACTGATTCCTGTGGCTCCTCAGCTGCTCCACCTGCTGCTGCTGCTCTTTCTGGTGACCCGGAGATGAAGAGCACTGGGGAGGTGAAGAAGGACAGTGGTGTTAAGGGACCAGACAACTCAGAGGCAGATGAGTCCTCTCAAGAAAGCAGGTGTGCCGTGGGGGAGATGGCCGAAGCACCTCAGTGCTCGTGCCGGGCCATTCAGCCGCAGAATGGGAACCAGATGAACAGCGAGCAGCAGAAGAATGAGGGTCATGAGCAGAATGCATCGGTTCGGCCTGAAGAGCAAGACCGAAGCCCCGGCCCCGGCGTTGCGCAAGCGCAAGGGGGTGGATGGGAGACTGCTCTGCCTCCGCCCGCGCCCTGCCTGCACTGCTTCACTATGCGCCCCACTGGCCCGCGTGTAGCAGCCCATTTCTGGGAACTCTCCCGCAAGAGCAAGCCGTGGGGCGCGATCGGGACGGGCAGGGGACAGCTGGCGGTGCTGATGCTGGCGGTGCTGATGCTGGCGGTGCTGATGCTGCCGGTGCTGATGCTGGCGGGCCGGGGAGGTTTGGATTGCAACGGTGCGAGAAGGGGAAAGCGGTCGACGGTGCGTGTGGGCCGACAGGAGAGAGTGAGGGAGAGAGGAAGAGAGGGAGAGAGGGACAAGTTGCTCAAGATGGGTGTGACGCTGTGGAAGGTGGTAGAGAGGGGGAACGACTGAGAGGTGGCTGGAAGAGAAGAGGTGGGGAAGGAGACAGGGAGCAGAGAGAACCAAATCACGTGGTTGCTGCTGCTGCTGCTGCTGCTGCTGCTGCTGCTGCTGCTGCTGCTGCTGCTGCTGCTGCTGGTGTTTCTGCTCCTGCCAATACTGCTCCGGATGTTGCAGGTGCCATTGGAACTACCAATGCTGCTGCTGGCCGTGCTGATGCCACAACAACCAGGGAAGCAACCGCAGCCCCCTCGCAATCGCACGCGGCCGCACAGCAACACACACAGCAGCTGCTGCAGCGGTTCTCCACGTCCTTCCCAGGCCTTCTGTCGGAGGTGCCTCGCAGTGTGCCCGGGGTCCCTCGAATCTTCCTTGAGGCACTGCGGAGGCGCAATGAGCTCGTGGTGGGGGCGTGTGAGGCCATAGGGAGGCGGCAGTCACAGGCCAGCGTTGCCACGCACCCTCCAGCAGGCGGAAACTGCATGCCTGCAGAGGCTACAGCAGCCATGGGCCCTCTAGAGCAGGGCAAGGCAGCAGACGGCGAGGCAGAAGGGGAGGATTCAGAATCAGAGGGTTTTTTCGGGTCCGTGCTGAGAACCGTTCGGCAGGAGAACAGACTCGCTGCCGCTGCTGCCAAGGCCTTGAGGGCCCGTGCACGGCCAGCTGCCCAGGTGCCTCCACAGCAGAGGGACCCCCGCAGAGCAGCCCCAGGGGGTGATGAAGAGGAGCAGACTGGGCAGGTGGCTGTGGGCGGTGGCGCTGCAGGCGGTGGTGCTGTGGGCGGTGGTGCTGGCGGGCCTGGGAGGTCTGGGTTGCGACGGCGCGAGAAGAGGAAAGTTGTCGAGGATGAGTGTGGGCCGCGGGGTGAGCGCGTGGGGAGAAGGGTGGTAGGAGCGAGTGAGGGAGAGAGAAAGAGAGGGAGAGAGGGGCAAGTTGCTCAAGATGTGTGTGACGCTGTGGAAGGTGGTAGAGAGGGGGGAGGACGGAGAGGTGGCTTGAAGAGAAGAGGTGGGGAAGGAGACAGGGAGCAGAGAGAACCAAATCACGTGGTTGCTGCTGCTCCTGCTGCTGCTGCTGCTGCTGCTGCTGCTGCTGTTTCCTCACCAGCAAGTAGCAGTACTGCTCCTCCTGCCAATACTGCTCCGAACGTTGCAGGTGCCATTGGAACAACCAATGCTGCTGCTGGCCGTGCTGATGCTACAACAACCAGGGAAGAAACCGCAGCCCCCTCACAATCGCACGTGCCCCCTCAGCAGCACACGCAGCAGATGCTCCAGCAGCTCTCCACGTCCTTCCCAGGCCTTCTGTCGGAGGTGCCTCGCAGTGTGCCCGGGGTTCCAAGGATCTTCCTCGAGGCACTGCGGAGGCGCAATGAGCTCGTGGTGGGTGCGTGTGAGGCCATAGGGAGGCGACAGTCACAGCCCAGCCGTGCCACGCACCCTCGAGCAGACGCGGAGGCAGCAGAGGAATCGGAATCAGAATCAGAGGGCTTTTTTGGGTCCGTGCTGAGAACGGTTCGGCAGGAGAACAGACTCGCTGCCGCTGCTGCCAAGGCTTCAAGGGCCTGTGCAAGGCTGGCTGCCCAGGTGCCCCAACAGCACCGGGACCCCCGCAGAGCACCCCCAGGGGTTGATGAAGAGGAGCAGGTTGGGCAGGTGGCTGTGGGCGGTGGTGCTGTGGGTGGCACAGGCACCCCATGTGCCACTCAGCAGCACGTGCCGGCCATCATCTCAGGAGCTGCCCGCACCCGGCCGTACAACTTCAAGCCGAGGCCATTCGTCCGGATATCTCCTCTTGGACGCAGCACTGGCACGCCTCTAGCTCCTCGTACTGCAGCAACTTCTCCTGCCAGCCCTGCTGACACTCACACCCCAGGGGCTGCTGCTGCTGCTGCTGCCGTGTGCGCGCCTCCTCCTCCTCCTGCGCTGCCGGATCGCCCGCTTCACTGCCCTCCTCTGCCCCCTTCTCGCATCCCCCGGCCCGTATCGGCTGCCCTTCCTGACTCCTGCACGCCTATTCCTGATCCCAAGCAGCCCACACTGACAAGTCATCGGCAGGCGGCGGCGCAGCAGGTTGGGAAGGCAGGGGAGCAGGAGGAGGATATTTTTGGGGCTCCTAAAAAAACGAAGGCGGGGGAGCAGGAGGACGGCAAGCGGAGACCGGTGCAGGCAATGAGGAGGCGGCAGATAGTGCGGTTTGGGCCGATCAACAGTGGTTTGAGGAGCATCCACTCGTGCCTGCAGGCGGAGAGCAGGCGTGGGTGGCATGGCAAGGGGGGGCACCATGACAGGGCTGCCCAGGCTGCTGCATGCTGCCATGGCGCTGAGGCATGTGGTGGTGGTGGTGGTGGTGGTGATGTCATGGCATGTGAGGGGCTTGTGGGTGGAGTGGTTCCAGGCGAAGGTGGTGGTGGTGGTGCCACTGCCACTGCCAGTCAGTATGACAGGGCGGTGCAGAGGAGTGGGGATGGGGCGAGGGATGAGCAGAGGAGTCAAGCACAGGGGGGGGATGAGCAGTGCGGTGGGGAAGGAGAAGAGCAAGAGGAGCTGCGGAGAGGGGAGGGAGAGGATAGTAGCAGGGAGGAGGGGAGCAGAAAGAGGAGGAAGGAGAGTGGGCGCGGGGGCAAAGGAAAGAGGATCCGCGGCAGTGGCGAGGAGGATGGTGCTGCGAGTGGTACGGGGATAGGGAGGAACACTGAAGGGGTGGTGGTGAGTGAAGGGAAGGAGGAGGGTAAGGAGGGTAGGAGCAGCGAGGAGGACAATCACCTTGGGGTCGAGGGGAGAGCAATGGGGGGTGCGGAAGAAAAGCTGGGAAGTGGGGTGCGAGGGTGCGTAGGGGAGGCGAGGCAGTGCAGGGAGGGCAGGCTGGGAGCGTCTGTGTTTGGATACAGTGATGCGTATGGGCGCTACCGTGCCTATGTCCTTCGCTTGAGAGCCCGCCTGCCTGCCATGCCCTGCCCCACCGCGCCCCACACTGCCTGCTGCGCCCCGGAGCAGCGACAGGGGGAGGGGCAGGCGGGGACGTGCGAGGGGAAGCAGCAGGAGGAATTGTTCAATCAGCAGCAGTGTGACTGGTGGCGTGGGGGAGTGACACGTGTACCCCCTGTGTTCATGGCAGTGTGTGATGTGGCGCAAGCGTATGACACGATTCCGCACGCCAAGCTCTTGGACGTCATGCAGGTGACAACTGATGCAGGTGACAACTGATGCAGGTGACAACTGATGCAGGTGACAACTGATGCAGGTGACAACTGATGCAGGTGACAACTGATGCAGGTGACAACTGATGCAGGTGACAACTGATGCAGGTGACAACTGATGCAGGTGACAACTGATGCAGGTGACAACTGATGCAGGTGACAACTGATGCAGGTGACAACTGATGCAGGTGACAACTGATGCAGGTGACAACTGATGCAGGTGACAACTGATGCAGGTGACAACTGATGCAGGTGACAACTGATGCAGGTGACAACTGATGCAGGTGACAACTGATGCAGGTGACAACTGATGCAGGTGACGACTGGTGCAGGTGACAAGTGGTGCAGGTGACAACTGGTGCAGGTGACAAATCATGCAGGTGACAACTGATGCAGGTGACAACTGATGCAGGTGACAACTGATGCAGGTGACAACTGATGCAGGTGACAACTGATGCAGGTGACGACTGGTGCAGGTGACAAGTGGTGCAGGTGACAACTGGTGCAGGTGACAAATCATGCAGGTGACAACTGGTGGAGGTGACATGAGAAATCATGCAGGTGACAACTGGTGCAGGTGACAAATCATGCAGGTGACAACTGGTGCAGGTGACAAGTCGTGCAGGTGACAGGTGGTGCAGGTAACACGTGTTGCAGGTGAGAAGTGGTGCAGCTATGCCTGATCCGATGACAAGTGATATGAACGAATGCCTGACGGGCTCATTCAGAACCCTTGTTCACTCCGAGCCCTCTCCTTCTCTACCCGCCTTCCCCCTCCCCCCCACTCCACTGCTGTGAGCAGGAGTTTGTTGAAACGCCAGCCTACATTGTACGACGCTTCTCTGCCATCTCGCCACGAGCCAATGGCCTCATCACTCCCAGGTCCCACAGAGCAGCCATGCCCATGCCCATGCCTGTGTGCATGCCCATGCCCGTTTCCATGCCGCCGGAACATCCGTGTGCTGCAGTGACACCTGCAGTGGCACCTGCAGTGACACCTGCAGTGACACCTGCAGTGACACCTGCAGTGACACCTGCAGTGACACCTGCAAGAGCAACAGCTGATGAGGTGCAAGGGACAGCTGCAGCAAGGGAGGCAGTTGAAGCAGTGGCGATGCTTGCAAGCACGGCTCCAGTGCCACATCCCAATGTGCGCCCGCTCACACCCAGCAACAGTACAGCGGCGCAGCCAACACCAGCAACAGGGGCAACGGCAGCGCCATCATCGACAGCTGCAGCAATGGTGGCAGCGAGGCCGTGGCAGCAGCAGCAGCAGGCATGTGTGCCATGGTGGAGCATTGTGCAGGCGGGCCAATCAGGGGCTTGCATTGTGGAGGATAAGGTGGGTGAGATGAGATGCGTCAGTGCCTCGCCTCTCAAATCTGTGTCCTTCCCAATTGAACATGAGATGGGTTCCACCTGGATGAGTGCATGAGAGGCATGGAGCAAAGGCTGTGAACAGGGTGCGGAGAGAGGAATATGGGGAGAGGAGGATGGTGGGGAATGGGTTGCTGCAAAGGTGATCAAACGAAACAAGCACGTTTGTTCAGTCCCCCTCTTCCACTCTGCCACTGAAACACTTGCACTCCATTTTCTCTTTTTTTCCCTCCCTCCTCTGCCACGTCAGGGCCTCACTTCCCTGTGGCATCGCGACCACATTCTGCAGCTGCTGCGGCGCCACATCAGCTGCCATGTCATCCGGGCCGGGCGGCAGTTCTTTTTGCAGCGAACGGGAATCCCCCAGGGCTCTGTGCTGTCTGCGCTGCTGTGCTCCCTCTTCTACGCTCACCTGGACCGGCACGTGCTCCTCCCCACTCTCACACCACTTGCCCTGGGCGCTCCTTTGCCACCAGAGGGTGGGGGAGAGGGCAGGGGTGCAGGGCAGGGCGGGGTTGAGTGGGGGGAACACAGGGGGGACGGGGGCGAGGAGGGGGCGGGTGAAGGAGAGTGTGAGAGGTGCAAGGGGAGGGAGAAGAGAGGGGGATCAGTGAGGGTGAGGGAAGGGATGGTTGGAGCAGAGGAGAAGGCAGGAGAGGCTTGTGGGAGTGATGCCAAGCTGATGCATCCACACAGAAATAGCAATACCCAGCAGCTGCAACGCGAGCAGCAGCAGCAGCAGCAGCAGCAGCAGGGTAACTGCCATGAATCGGCACAAGACTCACCTCCCCCTCCCCCTCCCCCTCCCCCTCCCCTTGGCGGCCAATCGCTGCTGCTTCGGCTCATCGATGACTCACTCTTCATCTCCACATCGCAGCCCCATGTCGCTGCTTTTGTGGCCGCCATGCACACCGGCTTCCAGGAGTATGGCTGCCGGGCCAACCAGAGCAAGACAGCTGTCAGCTTCCCACTGGTGCTGGGGAAGGGAAACAGGGAGACAGGTGGCAGTGTGGCCGGTGGGGAGATGGATGGGTGTGGACGGAAGGAAGGTGAGAGGGTGGCGAGGGATGGAGGAATGCGGGTGGAGGAAGGCAGTGCAGGCATGGAGCAGCAGGGCGGGGAAGGAGCAGAGGCAATGGACGTGGGGGGGGAGAAGATGATGGGGAATGGAGAGGAGAGAGAGGCAGCGAAATGCCAGGGCGGCGAGCGGACATTTCAGGAGAGGGTGTATGAGGAGGAGGTGGGGGATGGTGGGGAGATGGCGCAGGGCTGGGAGGCGAAGCGGCGGTTCATGCGGTGGGCAGGGCTGCTGGTGAACTGCAGTACGCTGGAGGTGCAGGCAGACTACACCAGGTGCGCGCAATCCCCCTCCTCACTGCCCCTCCCTGCACTCTCTCATATGCTGCCACTTCCCTGCACTTGCTGCCGTGGTTTGCTATCCTCCACTAGTGCCATCCTCTACTGTTGCCACCATCCTCTACTGGTGCCACAGCCAGTGTAACATCAGAGACACTCGCGCGATGCTGCCCGAGGAACCTCCCGTCTCATGCTCTCCTCCCGTCTCATGCTCTCCTCCCCTCTCATGCTCTCCTCCCCTCTCATGCTCTCCTCCCCTCTCATGCTCTCCTCCCCTCTCATGCTCTCCTCCCCTCTCAACCACCACCTCTCCTCTTGCCCACCTTGCATGATCTGCTCCCTTGTATCCTTCTGCTTCTTGGCCCATGTCGTCTGCTGTTGCACACTCGTGCAAACGTCACGAGGCGAGGCCATGAACACCCTGTTGCCCTTCCCCACGACACGGCAGGTACTGGGGCACGGACATGGCCACAGCAGTGACAGTAAGTTTCTGTGACCCCCCTGCAATAGCGATACCCACGAAGCTGCGGCAGTTCCTGCGCCCCAAGTGCAGTGCACTGCTGCTGGACACTGCAATCAACAGCCCCCCCACGCTGCTCGTCAATGCGTACCAGGCGCTGCGCCTCGCCGCCATCAAGCTCACCGCCTACTGCCGTGCCCGCCGCCTCTCCCCCGCTGCTGCCTGCACGCCACGCTCTCGCTGCGTGCCTCGCACGACTCGTGATCGTACCACGCACAGCATGGGGAAGAGCAAGGCTGGGGAGGAGAAGCCATGGAAGCGAACGAGGGGCGGAGCGTCTCTTTCTGTACGCGCTCCATGTGTCTGCCATGTTCAGGCCCAGTTCTTCACCCGTGCGATTATCTCTTCTATCAAGTAAGCTGGAATAACACTTTGCTCTTTCCTTTTCGCACCTGTTGGATTAAACCGATTAGCTTAGCTGCATTGAGGCACTCATTTCTCACGCTTCCACGCATTCCCAGATTGTGTTTCCTTGATGGAGCAACAGTTTTCTTTCCCATCCCTTCCACTCTCTCGTTCTCCTCTCCCCCACTCCTCCCCCTCGCCCTTGCTGCCTGCAGCTACTATGCAAGGCTCATTCGATCGCGGCTGGAAGCCGCATCCAAGGAAGTGGGAGAACCCATCCCATGCATATTCACCGCTGACATTGTCACCTTCTTGGGCCTCTCCGCGTTCACCACGGTTCTCAATGCAAAGCGCGGTGTATGGAAGGGCGTTGTTGTGAGGCTGCAAGAACGGCTGCGGTGCAGGGCGATGGCAGCAGTTGGGGATGACCCCGTGGTCAAGCAGGCCTTGCATCCCAGCAGACACTCTGTCTTTGAACGAATCCTCTTCTGATCCATGCATCACTCAACTTACTGCGGTTGCTTGTAAAGGTCCCAGCTTGTACCATTTCCGGACTTGTCCATTTGCAAGAATTGGACAGGGCCAGGAGGCAGTTGTGAAACTTTGATTAAACACAATTTCTAAGTATATCACTGGTACCAGTATGATCACGTGCAAAACAATAATGCCACAAGAAGCCACGAAAATATATATCCAGTGATCAAACTAGCAAGCAAATGTATACAGCCCAGATGATGTCAACGTTGCTACCTTTACTGGCAACTAGTTCAACGTTTGAAGCCCACTCCTCACATGCATACCCTAGTACCATACGCCACTCACCTGATCTAGAAAAATATGGGTTGCTAATCAATCATTAGGTACCGGTACCTTCTTTTCCCGTATCTCCTACCCTACAATGCGCTACTGCTGTGAGCTAGGAGTTTCATACTTTCACCGCTGCTGCTGCTGTGGGCTCACACACAAACGCGTTCCCCGGCTTCAATGCATATCCCTTGTCACACACGCACGAAAACCGCCACCGAACTTTCCCACCCACCGCTGTTGGTCGGCACGTGCCATGCCCTGCACAGGGTCCAAATCTGCCGTTCGCACCGCAGAAAGCAGCGCACGAATTAGGCCTGCGTTGCGACGTAACCATGCAACCAGGCACTTGCGAAAGGCAGTTGCGAGCTACAGTGAGGAACACAGTTTCGTCATCGCCAGGCTTCTCCGTCTGCCCTTCGATCGGGCAGACCTTCTTTCCCCACGCCCGTATCTCCGGTCTGCCCGAAAAGAAGTTGCCACGCACATCTAGATTGTATTCCCCTTCTGGCGTACCGAAATTGGGCAAACCTCCCGCGAAGAAGTTGTTCGACATGTTCAGAACTTGCATGTGGAGCCCCGTGAACGAGCTCTCCGGAATTCTTCCTGAAAGCATGTTGTTCTGAATGTTCAACCAATCTAAGTCCGGCGCGCCTCGCACAGCAGTCCATGGAAAGCTTCCTGAAAGCCTGTTGAAAGAGAGGTCGAGTCCATAGAGCTTCGGCTGATTTGCTAGCAGAAACGCGGGAACAGGTCCGGTCAGCCTGTTTCCCGCCAGGTTCAGGCTTTGAATATTTTTCATCTGCCCGAGGGTTGCGAGGATTCGCCGAGCAACCTTGTTTTGGCTCAGGTCGATGTCTCTCAGCTTCGGGTGGTTCGCGAGAGGCGCTAGCGACGTAACGACGAATCCGTTACGCTTGAGCAAAAGACCTTCCAGCTTCGTGAGTCGCAGAAGACTGTCTACGGGAAGCGGGCCCCCCAAACGGTTACCCCCAGCCGTCAGCCTCACCAGGCCGGTACACGCCGTAAGACTTGCTGGCAGCGGCCCTTCCAGCCGGTTATTCTGGATCATCAGGTACGTTAGCGCCTTGAGCTTGCCGATCTCCGTCGGAATGATACCGGTCAGCCGGTTGTCGGTTACACCTAAAGTCTTCAGAATGGAAAGGCTGCCGAGCGATCCCCCAGGAATGCTTCCCGTAAGTCGATTTCCCGAGAGATCCAAGGTGTCCAGTTTCTTTATCGTCCCGCCGAGAATAAATTCGGGAATGCCACCTGAAAAACGGTTGCGTGAAAGGTCCAGATAGACGAGATTCGTCAAACGCGAGAGCGAGGCCGGTATGTTTCCGCTCATGCCGGGGCCGTTGTCGGTTATTCGCAGCTCCTGCAGGCGGCTTAGCAGGCCTATGGACGACGGGAGTCGCCCCGCAAGCGTGTTGCCCCAGAATACCAGGCTCGTGAGGGCCGGTAAGTTTCCAATTGCCGGCAGGATTGTGCCGTTGATCCACGCGCCGGAGAAATCGAGGCGCGTGACGGCGCCGGACCTCGAATCGCAGGTGACTCCCTGCCACGTGGAGCAGTCCGTGCCTGCGATCCACGAGTCCGCGTATTGAAAGCCGGTCCAGCGGGATTTCAGGTAAAGGAGGATCGATTGATCCGGCTTGTAGATCTTGACGGCTTCGCAGAGATAAGGGAAACTCCCAGGGAGGCCATTGCCATGTGAGCTACTACTGGAGAAGAAGTGAGTAGATGGAGCGATGAGGAGGGAGAAAAGAAGAAAAGCGGAAAGACTTCTTCGGTAATTGGTTACGAGTGACGGCATATTTGCGATGGAGATTGACGTCAACGCAGTGGCGACGGGTGCGGGAAGCAAGCGGAAGAGAACGTCTGTAGATCCTTGCTACTGAAAACGTGATCGCGTACTAGGAGATCTTGTCAAACTAAGAGTGCATCAAGCACCAGCTCCGAACAACGAACAGCTCCTGGACTATTGTTGCAACAGATCGTCTTGTGGGCATATATGTAGAGATTGATATATGTGCCGAGCACGGCCCGGTAGTACTGAAGCAGAAAGGTGTGCGGGGTTGCTCACTGCTGGATGATGGGGAGAAGTATGGCTTGGCTCGAGCATAAGGGGCGGTTGGGAGAAGCTGCTGGGATGCATATTGGGCTTGTTTCCTCTGCTGAGCTGGTTCAGGCATATGAGCTGGGCCGCCGCCGTCGAGCTCTTTTCAAGGTTGTCTTGGAAAGCATGCGGAGTGAGAGTGATGTGATGCTGTGCTGAAGAGTTTGTGCGTGCCTTGTAAATTCGTGCAAGATGTGATGCAACCTGTGAAACGAGGGAGGCGGATGGAGGATGCCCTGGCTGCGCAAAGAAGTGAAGGGAAAGGAGCAAAAGCCGCGTCGCCTGGCATTGTTGTTGCTGCAAGCATGGTGCTGAATGGTGATCAATTTCGACAAATCCAGCTCAGCAAGAACAGTCGCGATTCTCCGAAATGGAGGGGTCACCTCGAGACGCATTTTCCGGTGAGGTGACTGCGTGCTGCAGGTGACATCCGACCCACCCACGTCATCCCTGTCACCTCGAAGCGCTTAGCAGCTGAGTTGGACGACAGCGGTTCCGACGGCGGAAAAAATAGTAAAAACATCTGGAGGTGCTGACTGAAACAATGTGTAAGGAAACAACTTTTCCCTCGCGTCATCGCCCATACCGCGTACAAAAACGAAGGGAATGACCTGCGCCACCATTCCTTTCGTTTCCAATTCCTTTGGGCAGCGGTTCTGACCGCGCCTCAATTCGCGCTCGCGTCAGAACTAGGCCAGCTGATTGAGGCGCAGCGCGATTACATGTAGAAATCGTACGGGCCTAGCGCCCATGCATCAACCCTAAACGCCATGAAGGAAGGGGTTTATTTTTGTCACTAGCCAATAAACTGTAAACATGTAGAACTCGTAATCACCCTTCGAAACATTTGGTCACTGGCAATGGGAAATGGCGAAATCAGCAGTCCCTCTCCAGACTGGGCCCCGCTAGTTCGCTCTCGTAGCTTGGCGTTGTTTGAGATGTCTGCCGTAGAGTTGTATGAGGCTTTGCCACTTGATTCTTTGATGTATGCTAATGTTGACTACAGTGTTGCTGGATCTGTTTACTCCTGTGTTCGTAGTCTAGGATCCTTGCATGTTGCTACTGTAGGTGATTGTGTGTCTAGTCTAGGTGCTTGTGTAGTTACTAGTCCTAGTATACCTGCGGCTGACGTGCCGCTTTCCTTAACGCTGGACTCTGGCGCATCTCATTGCTTCTTCCGCGACCACAAGACTCTCACGCCGCTTCCTGCTCCGGTTCCAGTTGCACTGCTTATCCTACTTCAGGACCAACAGTTGCCCGCAGTTCTACTACCCTCCCGTGCCCGGTGCCCCGACTGGTGTCCTCACTAGTCCCCACATCCCCTCGTTCTCCATGAACTTGTTGGGTATGGGACACCTTCAAGACCTCCACGTCGGCACCTGGTTTCCTCCGTCTGAGTGTGTTGCGACCTGCTTGGACGATGCCACTGCGGAGATTCACTCTACAACGGTAGTGAGCTAGACTACGGGGTTGGCACGAACTACTAGAGGTGATCGTAGCTTAGTTCTTTAGTGCTTGCGCATTCACGGGAGTAATCGGCCAGAGTTTCCACTAGGCAAAGTCGAAATTACAGAATGATTGAACAAGTAATGACAGAATGACTACATCAGGCACTTAGCAACCCTGCAGCTAGCCTGGTCGACCGCCAGCACAGCTTGGTCGACCGCCTGCCAGCGTTGCGTAGAGGAGCTGCGCCAGCACTGCGGAAAGGCGACCTGCCAACAGAGCAGGTCGACGGCGTGCCAACGCTGCAGCAGAGCGGTTGTCCAGCGTTGCCCCGTAGAGCGCAGCAGTGCGCACGCTCGCAGGTGCGCGCAGACGATTGGCCCGACTTGCCTCGTTGGGCATCCGTCGGCTGTTGTCTGCGCCTGACGAGCCAGATCGACTTCGGGATACCAGCCCGCAGTCGCCTTCGCCATCGCGACCTCGACGACGTTCGCGTGCCTCCAGAGAACTCGTCGAGCAGGTTACCCGGTCGACCTGGTCGACCACCAGGTGCTTCCGGTCGACCACCAGGTGCTTCCGGTCGACCACCACTGCCACTGGTCGACCACCGGGTCCCTCTGGTCGACCACCAGGTGCCCCTGGACGACCACAGCTCCCGTCGAGCTACCCTCTGGTCGACAGACCCCTTCCGTCGACCAGAACAGTCAGCGGTTGTCGCCGAGCTCCCCTCGTCGACCGCTGCTCACTTGTCAGGTCGACGGACTGCTCCGTCGACCTCCCAGTCGAACTGCAGGTCTACGGAGACCTCCCGGTCGAGCTGCTGATCGACGGAGTCCTCCCGGTCGAGCTGCGGGTCGACGGACTGCTCCGTCGACCTCCCAGTCGAACTGCCACTCCTGGTCGACGGCCCACCCGTCGCCCAGACCAGTCAGTTGCAGCTGTCGAGCTCCCTAGTCGACAGCAACACCACAGCGGTCCCCTGCAGCTCGACGATGCCTGTCGAGCAGCTCTCCCACTGTGAACGGTCGGCTGCTACTCCCGTACATCCGACCAAGTCGTCGGCGTTGCCCAAGCGAGGGCGGGGCCAACACTCCATTCCTGTTAACAGCCACTGGGGCTA